CAACTCAAGGGGTATATCTTATTCTAGCCCCAAGTTTGAAAATAGAAAAAGGTTCAAGTCAGTAGTTTTTGATGGTTAAAGCATTAGAAATTCTTGCCTCCAACTTCTCAGTGAACCTGTTTATCTTGTCATTCACTCCAGGCTCATTTTCACTACCACTTCCTTCTTTCTTTCCTTCTTTCTTTCCTTCTTCCTTCCTCCCTTCCTTTCTTCCTTCCTTCTATCCTTCCCTCATTCTTTCTTTACTTATTTCTTTCTTCCTTATTCTCCTCCTCCCTCTCTTCTTCCTTTTTTCCCAATAAATGGTTTGGGGTGGACTATACTTGATGAAGATGTATGAGCAACAGAGGCTCCGAGCCTTTAAAAAACAATGGCATCTCAATTTAGGTGTACTTACTCACTCACCCATTGGAAGTATGCCTAGAAAGAACATTTTAATTTGCCCTTTGCTTTTTTAGCACAGAGAAAGTAGTCAGAAAGAAAGGGTGAGCAGTGATGGGTTCAGTCACTGTTTAGAATGGCAAGGAAATGTGAGTCTCTTGGGAGCAGTTGGTTTTTGTCCAAGATAGCTAGGCACTAGGCAAGAAGACCAAACATCAGAAATTGGTAAACTGTAAGCCCAACAGAACAGAAAGTCTTCCGTAGCAAAGATCTGTGTATTGAGGACCTTTGGAACTGACCTGAGAAAACGCACACCTGCAATTTAAAGGATATCTAACAAAGAAACAAAGATACTGACAGAAACAATTCAAAGGATCAGAGTGTGAAATTCAGGACCACCAAGGCAATTACTGTAGGACAGTGACTCATGCTAACATGAAGCTTGATAGCTAGTCTGAAGTCTGCAGATAGGTGACCAGGGAGGGGAGATTAGAGCAAGCTGGAAACTCATGAACACAATCTGAGGAACAAAGGAAAAGTAGTGCATGGGCAGGTTGGAACTTTCAGGGCATCAAATATTTGGATTTTTTTTTTTAGGCATAAAGGTAAAATATTTATTACAGGAGAAAGGGAGAGAGAGAGAGAGAGAGAGAGAGAGAGAGAGAGAGAGAGAGGAGGAGAGATAAAAGGAGAAAGAGACAGAGAGAACGCGAGTGCACGTCAAAGAAGCAGAAAAGGAAGTCTATTTGGATCTTTGAAATTACAAAATGACTAAGCATCGCTTAGACATCCTCCTTATTAGGTTAGCCCCAACTCCATGAAATTATGTAATCTTTTAATTGAGTTAAATTCAACTGATTTGGAATTTTTTTTCTTTTCTTTTTTGAGACGAGGTCTCGTGTAGCCTGGGCTGGCCTTGAACACCCTGCGTATCTGAGGATGGTCCTGAACTCCTGATGTTCCTGCCTCCATCACTTAAGTGCTGGGATTATAGGCTTATACAACACCTGGTTTAGGGGGTTTTAATCACATCTACGAAATCCATTCATGACAACACTTAGATTTGTGTTTGATCAAATAAGTGAGTTCTGTAGTTCAGCTTGGCCTAGTTTATACATCAAACGGCTATTACACAAGAGGAGTCAGTGTGTGACCTGTAGCCCTTCCATTTTCCTTCCTGTGCCAGTGCACTAGAGAAGCTGCAGTCCAAAAGATAGAGACAAAGCAAATAAGATAAACCTTTCTTTTTTTTTTTAAATATTTCTTATTGTTTATTTATTTTATGTGCACTGGTGTGAAGGTGTCAGATCCCCTGGAACTGGATCTTCAGACAGTTGTGAGCTGCCATGTGGGTGCTGGGAACTGAACCCAGGTCCTCTGGAAGAGCAGTCAGTGCTCTTAACCGCTGAGCCATCTCTCCAGCCCCCTAAACCTTTCTTTACAATATTAAAAACATTTTTTTTTTGAGACAGGGTTTCTCTGTGTAACAGCCTTAGTTGTCCTGGAATTCACTATGGAGATCAGGGTGGCCTTGAACTCACAGAGATCTACCTGCCTCTGCCTCTGGGATTAAAGTGTGCGCCACCACTGCAGGGCTACAATTTTTAAAATATTTACTTATGGTGTGTGGGTATATGCATAGGCACACATGTGCCACGGCATGTATATAGAAGTCAGAGGGCAAACAGTTCTTTTTCTCCCATGTGAGTTCTAGGGACTGAATTCAGATCATCATTCTCTTTGGAGTGTGCCCTTGGTCACTGAGCCTTGGCCATCTTGATGGGCTGATAAACCCTTCTACAGTCCCCAAAAGGAGAGAATATAAAGAATAAAACAGCAAGCTACTCTTCCTCCCTGATCATGTCCCTGGAGCTGTATATTTCTCCTGTAGCAGTAAGGGCAAAGCTTTGGATGGGTATAAGGTAAAATTTTAATAATAGCAGCAAATGGGAAGTGATGGAATGTAAAATTTCATTAAGATAATTACTGGCCATCAAGGAAAGGAGAATTGGCATAGTTAAATTGGATACAGTAACTAGCAACATAAAACTCCAGAGCTGAGCCATGCAGGAAGCAACATGATTACATTATACAAATTAAATTAGAAGTGCTGCAATTGTTTAGATGAAGAAGTGTCTGGAGAAGTCAAAGAAGGCTTGCTCCTAAAGACAGAATTTGAATTAGTTCCTAACAGACGATCAGTATTTAGAATGTTGGAGCAGAGGAGAAACTAGTGGAATAAAAGCTCGGAAAATGATTTTTTTACACATTTGGTACAAGGTCGGGGGACACCACACAATTTGTGGAGCAAAGTGTGGATGCCAAGAGGCTAAGCACAGACCAGGCCCACACTAAGCCTAGCAGAGGAGTTGAATCTCGTGGGGCCCAGGCTAGTCTCAAACCCACTCACTATGTAGCTGAGGATGGCCTTTTCTTCCTGGTCTTCCTGGCTCTACCTCCTAAGTGTTGGGAATATAGGGTGTCCTGTGTTCGCTGATGTTGATAGTGGAGAAAGGAGATCTGTAGAGAACTCTTGGTTCTTGGATGAGGAAAACTTGGAGGAAAGTTTTTGTTCTGAATCTTTTAAAGACAACTTGTAACAACAAGATAACGCCCGTGGGATTTAGAGGAGGGCTGGAACTCAAGGGAATCAGACAGGATGCCAGGGGAATGTTGTAGTCTGGAACCCACAGTGGCTTCTTCTAAACTAATAACATTAATGTGGAATTAGAGAAAGAAAGCTCCAAGAAACATTTTGAATACAAAAACCATAAGAAAAGCCGGGCGATGGTGGCGCACGCCTTTAATCCCAACACTCGGGAGGCAGAGGCAGGCGGATCTCTGTGAGTTCGAGACCAGCCTGGTCTACAGAGCTAGTTCCAGGACAGGCTCCAAAGCCACAGAGAAACCCTGTCTTGAAAAACCAAAACCAAAAACAAAACAAAACAAAGAACTGTAAGAAAGAGTCAGTTTGGAGTGTGATGGTGGAAAGGAGGCTGCAGAGTGCTCCTTGGTTGCCAGCGCGGGGATCTGGAAGGACTGCGAGATCAGCACAGAAGTGAGGGAGCTGGGAAGACAGCGCCTTTGAGACTGTCACTGAGTTTGAGGTCATTCATTCTAAAGCCACAATTTTTAAAAAGAAAATGGAGAGAAGTGAGGAATAAAGAACAGTCGAATTTCTTGAGCTCGGTCTGCCAGCGACACCGCAGGAGAAGGCTGGTTAGGTCTGGAGGGTCTGGAGGCATGGGTGGTATTTTTCCATGACTTCTTCCAGCTGAAGAAGACTTCCAGAAGAAAAGGGGGTAAACAGAACAGCTATCCAGACGGCGTCAAAAGAATAGAAGTGGATTTGCTTCTGGGGTCATGGTTTAAGTCTTGAATTGATGAGCTTAGGCAAGGATTTGGGAAGTCGTGAGCAAAGAAAAAATTCCCCTTTTCTCTGTTGTCTCTTCCCTTTTAGGGTGGACAACTTCAGTACGTTCCACATGTCTGGTCACAAATGATAATGCCAGATCCTCTCTTAGGGCAGAAGAAAAGAATCACTGAAAAGAAAAAGGAAATTGTTCAAAGAAAGATAGGAAGGCAGACAGTGAGAAAGAAAACACTGTCAAAGATACCCAGTGTTTCATAGGATAATTATAGGTGAAAATAGCCAAAACTACTGCTAACATTTATTGAAAGTTTACTGCATATACTTCTGTGGAAAATTCTTTATATTCAGTATTTCTTTAATCCTTACTTTGAAGGATGCTTAATATTTTCCTAACCACAGCGTATCATAATACCAAGTGCTGGAATTATAGATATGTATCACTCGGTTTAGATCCTGTTATTATATAGAATTATGTGGAATAATTTTGGGGACTGATGAGAGGCACAGTGGTTAAAAGCACTTCCTGCTCTTTTAGTTTAGTTCCCAGCACCCATGTGGGGTGGCTCACAACAATCTATAATCCAATTCCAGGAAATTCAACTCCCTTTTCTGGCCTGTGAGGATATCTGCATACCTATGCGTGCGTGCGCGCGCGAGCGCACACACACACACACACAAATTTTAAAAAATCTTTAAAATACTTTGGATTTATGTATTTACAACTTAGAACATAGACAAATGGACACAATAAAAAGGCAAGGTGTGATTGATGTTGCTTTTTATTTTTTGTGTTTTTTTTTAAAGATGGGTAAAAATGAAAAGATGGGAAAATATCAGTGTGTCATGTACGAATGAGGTATAAAGCTGAAAGACTAGTTGCACCTATGGTATATGTCTCTAATCCTAGCAGTTGGGAGTTGGGGACAGGAAGCTCAAGTGTTCAAGGCCAGCATGGGCTAAAAAAACCCAATTAACCAAAACAAACAAAAGAGCTAAATAAGAACAAATACAGCGAGACATTGGGACAGGTTTACAGTAGGGGCGATCGGAGGGTGGAAAAGCCCACTGGGCTTCACATATGTGATAGTGCATACACCAGATCAAAAATTCCTACTGTTTTCTGTCCAGAATTTTGTTATAATATCTACCTTCCATTCCTGAATTAGTGTGTGTGTGTGTGTATAATAGTAATGTGGTTTTCAATGCAATAAACATGTATTTTTTTTCTTTTTATTTCCTTAAATAGAATTTATCTGAAGAAATGGATAATTCTCCATCCAAAAAATATCCAGTTAAAAAACGGGTAAAAATCCATCCCAACACAGTTATGGTGAAATACACCTCTCATTATCCCCAACCTGGAGACGACGGGTACGAAGAAATCAACGAAGACTACGGCAGATTCATGGAGGAGAATCCGAAGAGAAGCCTGCTAAGTGAGCTGAAGAGAAAAGGAAGAACTTTGTTTGGAACCATGGACCCTCAGCCTCCACCAACCGACGACTCAAGAGGCAGTGGGATGGCACAGTTCCAGAGCTTTGCAGAAAAAAACATTTTTCAGTCCCGAAAAATGTGGCTAGTGCTGTTTGGCTCTGCCTTGGCTCATGGATGTGTGGCTCTCATCACTAGGCTTGTGTCTGACCGCTCTAAAGTTCCATCTCTAGAATTGATCTTTATCCGTTCTGTGTTGCAGGTCTTATCGGTGTTAGTTGTGTGTTATTACCAGGAAGCTCCTTTTGGACCCAGCGGATACAGACTACGACTTTTCTTTTACGGTGTATGCAATGTGATTTCTATCACCTGCGCTTACACCTCCTTTTCAATAGTTCCTCCCAGCAACGGGACGACGATGTGGAGAGCCACAACCACAGTCTTCAGTGCCGTCCTAGCGTTCCTACTTGTGGACGAGAAAATGGCTTATGTTGACATGGCTACAGTGGTTTGCAGTATCTTAGGGGTTTGTCTCGTCATGATTCCCAACATCGTTGACGAAGACAACTCTTTGTTAAATGCCTGGAAAGAAGCCTTTGGGTACACTATGACTGTGATGGCTGGACTGACCACTGCCCTTTCGATGATAGTGTACAGATCCATCAGGGAGAAGATCAGCATGTGGACTGCACTGTTCACCTTTGGTTGGACTGGGACACTCTGGGGAGTATCTACTATGTTTGTCCTTCAAGAACCTATTATCCCTTTAGACGGAGAGACGTGGAGCTATCTCATTGCTATATGTATCTGTTCTACTGTAGCATTCTTAGGAGTTTATTATGCCTTAGACAAATTCCACCCAGCTTTGGTCAGCACAGTACAGCATCTGGAGATTGTGGTAGCTATGGTCTTACAGCTTCTAGTGCTACACATATTTCCTAGTGTTTATGATGTTTTTGGAGGGGTGATCATTATGACTAGTGTATTCGTCCTTGCTGGCTATAAACTGTACTGGAGGAATGTAAGGAGGGAAGATTATCAGGAAATACTGGACTCTCCCATTAAATGAACACCTGGTTATTATTATCTTGTTAATGTCTAGTTATTAACATGTACATTGCCCTTTTAATATTTACCTGTGGATGTCTTTTATGTTATATAATTGATAGAGTGCTATATAGTATAAATAATTATGCAGACGCAGGAAGATATTCCAGACCAATATATTAAAGCATAAATATTAAATAGATGAAATATGTCATGAACTTTGTGTATTTATAATTATTAATAAAAGTAATTGTGGTAGAAGGGTATCATTCTCCATCACCAAAGATACAAGACTAGGAGTCTCCAATTGAATCTTTGTGGTTATAAACTTCTTTTTTTTAATTTATTTTAGGTTATAAACTTCTAAAACCTGAAAAATGTTTTTGTTTTGTTTTGAGAAAGGGTCTTTCTGTGAAGTCCTGGCTGTCCTGTAGATCAGACTGGTCTTGAACTCACAGAGACCTGTCTGCCTCTGTCTCTCGAGTGTTGGCATTAAAGGTGTGAGCCACTAAGCCTGGGGAGAAATGTTTATTCTTTTTTTTTTTTTAAACAGGGTTTCTCTGTTTAGCCTTGGCTGTTCTGAGAGCTGGGATTAGAGTCATGCACCACCATTGTCCAGCTGAACAAAGTTTATTCTTAATGTTCTACAGATGTGCAGCAAGCATCCTTCAACATTCAAAAATATTCATTCATGAAAATTACACATAGGATAAAATGTTGGACACCTAGCTAAAGTCCATATTTCCACTAAAAATCTAAAGGCCTAGAGTTGAGATAAGTAAGGGGAGTAAAGAAAAGGTGGATTTTCAGGAGCTGGAAAGTTTGTCTTATAATAGGCCACATTAGGCAATATATAGGGAATGAGTGGAGGGTATAATGAATTCTTCTCCTGTTTATGAGTCTATGGTAAGTACTTAAGTAAAGCAGACATGCCACACTCCAAAAAAAAAAAAAAAAAAAAAAAAAAAAGACAAGCCCAGCAACATGTCTTTTGCATTGAGGAACCAAAGTAGATGTGGTTTCTTGTGCAAGAGCCGCACAAGATGAAGCCAGCCACAATTGCAGCATAGATGGAGAGGGACTTTCCATGACCCATGCCTTGCTGTGTTATTGGTGGTTGAGACCTGCTGGGAGAGAGAGAATCATTTTTGTTCCTATTGGTATATTATTGTGTTTCAGTGCCGTCCCCCACTACATATGGACAGCACTGATTGGATTGGATTTAATGGGTTAAAAAAAAAAAGTCATTTCCAGGATTGCCAGGGCTACACAGAGAAACTCTGTCTCAAGAAAAAAAAGCCATTAGTTGGGAGGGGAACATGATGAGGGGCATATGGGCATGGGGGGAGAGTTAGAGGAGGAAAATGGGGTTGGATATGATCATACTTTATTGTATACATGTATGAAATTCTCAAGAATAAAGAGAAATTAAAACTAAATTGTTTTTTAACACACTAGCACTAACCATGTTATAGCAGAAAATTGACATGGTTTCCTGAGACTCCACAAAAGGGCCTCTAGGTCTGTAAAAGAATACAAGATATCATTAATTTGAGTTTAATTTGGGCCATTATTAATCCTGCACAAGTACATGTTGATGTGATACTGATTATTGAGGTTCTGTCTCTTAGCTCCCAACCCACCCATCTATACTTTCCTATGTGATGCTAAGGCTCAGACCCTGGACATTTCACTTTCATGGTGCTAGCTAGTGTCTCTCCCACTGGGTTTGCCTACAAAGGACATTACCAACGGGCTGAACCTGCTAGCAACGCCTGTAATTCTAGCTACTTGGGAGGCTGAGGCAGGTGGATCATAAGTTCAAGGTCAGCTTTGGCAACTTAGACAGACTTGTTTTCAAAAAGGGGAAGCAGCTACTGGGACTATAGCTTGGTGGCATAGCACTTACCTATTAAGTAGCAAGGTGTTGTAGATTCAACCCCAGTCCTTCAAATAAGTAAATAAATAAGAAAGCAAAAAGTTACCAGAGAAAGATTAGAAGGCAGAAGAAGGGATTTTTCCTCTTTCTATTTGCCTTTAGTGTATGTTGCTGCTTTACCCCAGCAGTCAGCAGGAATTAATGTTACCCTTAAGTTACTTCTGACATTATTCCTTCCTGTAGCATCCCTCCTGCCCACAACATCATTCCCTTTGAGCAGTAGAAGGGCCAGCTGCACAGTTTCCTCCCAGACGTCTGAACTATATCCCAGCTGGGTCATGTCTCTGTGCTTCGGAAATCCTATAGTCCAAACCTGATTCTCCCTTTTCCTAGCCCCAACGGTGGTAGCTGATCCATGAAGCACAATGTCTTTTGGGTTACCTCAGTGTTCGGTGTCACCACTGGCCCTCCATCCCTGACCTTTTTTGGAGGGGTTTATCTGAGACAGGATCTCACTCTATACCCCCGGATGGCTTTGAACTTGGGGTGACTTCCTGCATCTGCCTCTCCAATGATGGGATGACAGGCATGAGGGACCAAACCTGGCTTCAGTTTTTCCAGTCCATTAACCCATAATCTAAATCTTCTCCATTGTGATATCTCGTGATTTCTGCTTTCCTCAGTGAAGGGTCCAAGTCATCTTCAAACAAATCCAAAGGCTCTAATAAGATACCTAGTTTTGGGGGAAACGTTGGCATTTAGATTTTTCAGGTATTACTAGACGTTAGTTCCCAATAGACATTCTGTAACCTGAGTAGGCATGGAGGTATAAACCTATAATCTTAGCTTCTTAGGAAGCGAAGGCAGAGTGCTCCTAACTTTGAGCACAGCTTAGGCAATTTAGCAAGATCCCACACACAAATCTTAAAAAGTTGAAAGGGCTGGGCAGATAGCCTGGGGATGAAGTGCTTGGGCGGCATACAGCGGACTCCAGCAGACTCGGGTGCAGCCTGCAGTGGATGCTCACAGATGCAAGCACACACGCAGAAATGAAAGCACAGGAAGAGGCCGTGGAGGCACGCAGAGAACAGAGCCTGCACTGAGAGGAGCGGCATAAATGTTACTGCTGTCTCAGAAGAGGAGGAAGGAAAACCAGGTGGGAAAGTTTTGAGGAAATATCAACCGGAATGCTTTCAAATTTGATTCGAGGTGGAAAACAAGTACCAGTGACTCAGAAATCTGGGGAACTAGATGAATGCCTGGCAGGATAAATGGAAAGAGACACCTGGGAACAGTGCGACTTAACAGTGCACCTTTGCTGAGGATGGACTAGAGCAAAAAGACACACCACACAGAGAAACAGCAAGAGCTACAGTGAGATGGCTCAGTGGAGCAGGGCTCTTGCCACTAATCCTAATGACCCAAGTAGGATCCCTGGAACCCACGTGGTCGAATGAGAGAACCAACTCTACACATGCATGTACACACACACACACACACACACACACACACAAAATAAATGCTAATGTCTTAGGTAGGGTTTCTGTTGCTGCAAAGAGACACCATGACCACAGTGACTCTCATAAAGAAAACATTATTTGGGGTGGCTCACTTGAGGGTCAGTCCATTATCATCATGGAGGCATGCAGGCAGATGTGGTGCTGGAGCTGAGAGGAAGTCAACTGAGACACTGGGCAGTAACCTGAGCATAGGAAACATCAAAGCCTGCCCCTCAGTGACACACTTGCTCCAACAAGGCCATACCCACTCCAATAAAGCCACACATCTCCTTAATAGTGAAACCCTCTATGAGATTATGGGGGCCAACTACATTCAACTACCACAGTTAATAAATAAAAGATTCCAAGAATTACAACTTGGGGTTGGAGATATGATTCCTCCATTAAGAACACTTGTTGCTCTTTCAGAGAACCCAGGTTGGGTTCCTAGCACCCCTAAGGCAGTTTACAACTATTTAGACCAGATCCAGGGGATCTGATGCCCTCTTCGGGTCACTGAGGGAACTGCAGGCGCACAGTGCACTTAACAAACATGCAAGCAAAACACTCAACCCAACAAAAGAAAGTTTTTAAAAAATGAATTGCAGCTTGCTCCTCAGAAGAAGCAATGAAGGCCAGAAAACATCGGGATGATTGCTACAGTACTGCAAACACATGCAACAACTCTCTAGCGACTTCTCATTCCTCATGGGAGAAACTGTAAGCTCCTCAGCTTTCACAACACATTGCTTCAATTCTAGCCACCGTCTGCCCCATCAATATTGCTTAATGTCTTTATGTCACCCCAAACCCTTCCTTTTGCCTCAATAGTCTTACTACAGATTTCCCCCCTCACTGTGGCTTAATGCTTCTCTGTCCCTAGATACAACTGTTGCTGTGTTTGGCATATTAAAAATCCAGGTTGGCTTAAATCTCAATGCCTGACACTGGTATGGACTCTTAAGATATCTGATACCCTAATGTTGGAGCTACCATAAAAAGTGTATTCTTTCCCATAATAGCATAACCATACTGGATCCAGAAATTAAATTTAGTAGGTCCTACTAATTTCTACATGACAATATAAAGCCCGTGGTGACTCCTTGCTATCAGATAGGTAGGACTTTCTTCCCCCTAAACATTCCCGTCTGATTGGTACACGAAACTACAGCGTTCTAACTATAAGTTGTCAGTAGCTCCCTGGGAAATGCCTTAAGATACGGAGGGTTCATAGTTCCTTTCTTTATCACCCCAAATCTCTTCCTTTGGAGTTAATGGTCAGGAGCCGCCTGAATGGTTTTTGTTTGCTTGAGAGACTTGCTCTGTGTAGCCCTGGCTGCCCTGGAATTTGCCACATAGATCAGGCTGGCCTTGAGCTCTCAGAACTTGAACCTACCTCTGCCTCTCAAGTGCTGAGATAAAAGGTGTGGTGGTCTGTATGTTTTATTTTTGTTTTTGCTTTTTGAGACAGGGTTTCTCTTTGTCACAGTTCTGGCTGTCCTGGAACTCACGTTGTAGACCAGGCTAGCCTCGAAATCACTGAGATCTGCCTGCCTCTGCCTCCTGAGTGCTGGCATTAAAAGCAGGCACCACCGCTGCCCTGTCTTTGTATGTTTTTAATGTATACTTTGCATTACTTACTTTTGAAACTATCACTAGAATGTAGGTAGAGTATCTTTTGCCCAGTTTTATGATCTACTTTTCTCAACTAAACTCAGGCTAAGTTGGGGCCACAAGTAATCTGTAGTTTACCTAAGGCAGGCCAACCCATGGATCCTTCATCATGCAATTAAGTTAAATGCAGAAATGTGAATTTTTAGGACTTACAGGTAGGCTCTGTATTACAATGCAAGGAAGGAGCTGGAGAAATGGTTCAGTGATCAAGGGCACTGGTTACTGCTCTTCTAGGGGACCTGGGTTTGATTCCCAGCACCCATACACGGTTCAAAACCACCTGTAACTCCTGTTCCAGAAGATCCTATACCCATTTCTGGCCTCCAGGGGCACCAGCCACGCATATGGCACACAAATACACATGAAGGCAAAACACTTGCACACAGAAAAAAAATTTTTTTTTCTTAAAAAGTGAAAGGAAGATGTACTAATGCCTTGGTTATTGACGATGAAGTGTAGATGTGGTAGACGCGGAGTGGGGATGGATGAACGCTGACTCAGTTCCTCATTTAACAGACTTTGCAATCTAAGTATATGTTATGGGGTGTAGCTACCCTGGAGGCAAAAACACACGTTTCAATCGAGTTGTCTAACCTAGAGGGTTTCTTGAGGCGCCACACCTACGCTAAGAAACCAAGGTGGTTGGGAAACAGTGAGGCACTTTGGGTGGCTGCAAGGCTTGTTAGGAAGGAGAAACTGATTAACAGATACCTTGGCAGGTGGCTGGGGCTGCGCCACGGCCATGCCTAGCCCAAGGGCAAAGGTAACTGTCTTTTTCAGCAGGGCTGCAAGCCGGGAGTGAAGGTTGCCCA